CTTTTTTCGTGTCTGGCAACGGATCGCAACCCTCAGTGTCGCGCCCGTACCGGACTGGCAACGGGATTGCAACCCTCGGTGTCGCTCCCGCACCCCACTCAGCCAGTGAGCGGGAACTGGTCTGTATGTGGGATCCGAACCCTCGGCGGGAGCGCCACCGTGCTCCCAAGCGGTGCACTGTAGCAGTGCGCCACTGGGCCGGCCCAATATCTGATGATTTTTGAGAAGTCAGAATTCATTACTTTTGGATAAGGGCACATTAATTTCCATTGATTCATAATAATATCTATTTATATACTAATACATATAAGAGCATTCCTCAATTCCTGTCTCTTGTCTGAGATTTTGATAGTAAAAGATCCAAAGATATGATTTTAAATAATTAAAGAAGGCCAGAAAAAGACAGTTATTTTAATATAATTAACAAGGACACTTGAAATAAAACAAAATTAACATGCCAAAATTGGTAAATTCCTATTTTGAAAATTTATGATTTAGTTTATAAGTTATTTTCGTACCAAATGTAATCACATCCCCAAAAAACTTAGACCTTGGCAATAGCCTCCTGCTAACTTGGTTTCTACCATACAGTCTGTTGATCCCCCAGCCAGGGGATCCTCATCCTGCACCCGTGGTCACCCTCTGTTGCTGGACCCTTGATAGTACTTCTTTGTATCCATATGTATTTATACAGAGTGAATTCATTCACTCTCCTCTTGATGGCCATATCTAAGTTTTTGCTTTTGAGTCCTGCTAACAACATTCTTGTACATGTCTTCTGGAACATATATACAAGAGCATTCAAAAAGTTCATGGAAAGATGTGTATTATCTTTCAGGTCTGTTTTTCCACAAACTTTTTGAAGTACCCTTATATGCTGAGTAATGGAATTTGTGAGATACTCAATTTGATAAATTTTATAGCAAATACTGGAATAGATGTAAACCTGCATTCTCTGATAACGTCAAACTCCCTCACTGTTTAATGTCTTCTACTTTTTCCTATGCCCATAGTATAGTTTCCACAGAATGGGTTGGTATTAAGCCACTTGCTAAATCAGTTCCTCTGTTTTTCCAAGGTCAGGATTTTAACTGTTTGGGCACAAGTATATTCTCATAGATTGGCAAGCACAACCTCTGTTCCCATATTGCCATTTACTCCTTGCCCTTCAGTCTTGCTCTTCTAAATCCCAGTCCTGGCCTTTCCTAAGATTTTTCATAGATCTAGATGGACTATCCTAGTATATTAATTTTGAGTACCTTGGCAACAAAGTTTCCACAAGACCTGCCCCTCCCTGCACTGCATGCACTGTGTAATGAAAGACCCCTACTCATACACAGGACAGCTTGCTCAGGACAGTGACATGATCTGGTCACTGTCTACATCAACATGTGCAGAACATGATGACTGAAAAGCTGTTATTTGGGAGCAGTGGCATTGTCACATTATAGGTGACAGAACTCAGATCCTGTATCTCCCCTGAAACATTCAAAGCTCATGGGATTTGCTGTGACCTGTGTGTACTGCCTAGATGGGAGTGTGTGTTTAATGCTTGTGAACATGGCATCTTAGCCTACAGACCCAGGTTCAGATCCTGCCTCTTGAATTTGCTTTCTTTGTGAAATAGGGATGGCTATATGAGGGGTCTTCAAAAAGTTCATGGAAAGATTTGTATTATCCTTTAATTCTGCTTTTCCACAAACTTTTGGAAGTACCCTCGTATAAACCCCTTGGGCTCTTTGTTTTTATATGAAAAATTGTGATAATTTACTTCAAGAACATTTAAATAAGTTAATGCTGTTAGAGGGCTTAGAAAATTGAATGGAATGTAGTATGGGCTGAATAGTTACCTATAATTAACAAAATATGTCAACTTTCTGTCATGTTTCTTATGGGATTGACCTTTGCCTGCATTATATCTTATATATTTTCTTTTTGTAATTTTTTCCATATTAATGTTTTTGCTGACCCTAGATAATAAATTTTCAAAGCACACAGTCTAAATTATACATATATTTTTGGCCCTAGAACTGGAGAATTAGAAGACTTCATAGTTACGGAGTTGCTATACATACTTGCTGCCGTATAACTGAAGGCATGAAATTGTGATTTCAGACTGGCTTTCCTAATTCTTAATCTTTATAATGAAGATTTACCTGAAGAACCTGAGATTTCAAAATTCAGTGATTCTCAACATATTTCTTACATTTTCTGTTGTGTGCTTCTGCAGTGTAAGTTCTTTTGTTCTTAAGCAAGAATTCTTTAGAATTTCACAGATGATAATTTTGTATATTATAGTTATGTATTAACTTGCCTTCTAGACTTTCTTGGGTCACTAAAGTTTTTTATTATGATTTACAGATGATGGTTTTTCAGTACATATTATGCAGAATAACTGTCATAAACAAATTGTTAATGTCAGAAAATGCAGACTCTACATGGGTATAGATAGTTTTATAACAAGTATTCAGATTTACAATGTTTTAAATACTTACAATGGTATTTTATTAAATATTTCCTGATGTTTCCCACACTGTATTTTTGCTATTGTGAATTTCTGTTTTTATATTTTCCATTAGGTAAATTTGGGCTGTGCTTTAGCTTTTATTTGTTGTATCATAATTGTTCACTAAGTAATACTTTATTACTTATTTCTCTTAATATGAGATAGCCATATAGCTATGCCAACTGGTGTGTTCTTTGGGGTGGAGATAGAAAAATATCCCTTCTTTCAGGGCTTGCATATGCTTACATAGTATGAGTGCTTAAAGGGTGTTTAAAACTGTGCTTCCGGGCCGGCCCGGTGGCGCACTGCTACAGTGCACCGCTTGGGAGTGCGGTGGCGCTCCCGCCGAGGGTTCGGATCCCACATACAGACCGGTTCCCGCTCACTGGCTGAGCGAGGTGCGGGCGCAGCACCGAGGGTTGCGATCCGTTGCCGGACACAAAAAAAGACAAAAAAGGAAAAAAAAAAACTGTGCTTCCCTTAAAATAGCTTGAATTACATCTTTCATTTCTATATTACTTTCTTTATTGAGAATTCTTATTCCTTTTGTGTTTCTAAACATTTAAAGACCATGGTTGAAAAGCTACATACCTCTGTTCATTGTAAATATTATTTTTTAAAATATTGTACATTTCAATATAAAATATTTATCTTCCAGCGCTATAATGGAAACCATATCGTTCTTTGTATCTTTCAGATATTTCTGCTGGACTTGCAAGCAAGGTATTATCACCAAAAGAAGACATTAATAAAGGGGAATCATACCATCTGGTGATATTGGAAAGAAATGAAAACCATGGTATGAAAGGTTTTGACCTCAAGGAAGTCTGGGAAAATATGCATAAGTTTGACAGCCAGTGGGGATATGATGCAAGAAATTACAAAGGAGTGCCTTTGACATATAACAAAAATATCACTTGTAGAAAAGATAAACATAATAAATCCTCAATTAATTTTTCTTTAAAGCAGAGTGTTTCTGTAAGAGAAAATACATACCAATATTTCATACATGACAAGCTATTTATAAGGAATTTGTTAAGACTGAATAATAATCTAAGCTATGCTGGAAACAAATATATGAAGTATTTTGAAAATACGATTGGACTAAGTTTACAGGCACATCTGGCTAAACTGCAGAGATTTCAAACTGAGGAGAAAACTTACGAATGTAATCAAGTTGAGAAATCTATCAACAATGGTCCCTCAGTTCCACCACTTCAAACAATTATTTCCAGTCCCAAAAGCAACATTTATAATAAATATAGGAAGACTTTAAAATGCCCTTTGTTACCAACACAATACAGGAGTACACACATTAGAGAAAAATCATACAAATGTGATGACTGCGGAAAGGCTTTTAGCAAAAATTCAAACCTCACTAATCACCAGAGAATCCATTCTGGACAAAAACCTTACAAGTGTAATGAGTGTGGCAAACCCTTTAACCAGTGTTCGAACCTCACTAGACATCAGAGAGTCCATACAGGAGAGAAACCATATAAATGTAACATATGTGGCAAGGTCTGTAGTCAAAATGCAAACCTTGCAAGTCATCAGAGAATGCATACTGGAGAGAAGCCTTATAAATGTAATGAATGTGGTAAAGCTTTTAGTCAACATTCACACCTTTGGGGTCATGAGAGAATTCATACTGGAGAGAAACCTTACAAATGTAATGAATGTAGCAAAGCCTTCGCTGAACGTTCAAGCCTTACTCAACATAAGAGAATCCATACTGGAGAGAAACCATACATATGTAATGAATGTGGCAAAGCCTTTAAGCAGTGCTCAAGCCTCACTAGACATCAAAATATACATCCTGGAGAGAAACCACACAAATGTAATGTGTGTGGCAAGGCTTTTATCCAAAGTTCAAGCCTTGTGGAACATCAGAGAATTCATACAGGAGAGAAACCTTACAAATGTAATGAGTGTGGCAAAGCCTTTACTAAGCATTCAAATCTTACTCAACATAAGAAAATCCATACTGGAGAAAAAGAAACCTTACAAATGTAGTCAGTGTGGCAAAGCTTTTGCCCAATTTGCAAACCTTACTAGACATCAGAAAATACATACTGAAAAGAAACATGTAAACATAATACATGTGGTAAAGCTTCTATCCAAAGTTCAAACCTTGGGAATCATCAGAAAATTCATCATAGAGAGAAAACAATGAATAAAATGATTGAGACGAAACCTAAACAAGTGTTCAAGCCTTACTCAACATCAGAAACTCCATTGTGAAGAGAAACCATATAGAACTAATGTATGTGGCAAAGCCTTTAACTTGGGTTCACATCTCACTTGATATCAGAATGTATATCTTTGAGAGAAAACACAAATATAATGTGTGTGACATGGCTTATCCAAAGTTCAAGCCTTGTGGAACATCACAAAATTCTTACAGTAGAGAAACCTTACAAATTTAATGAATGTGATCAGCTTTATAAAAAAAAAATGTACACCTTTGTGGTCATGAGAGAATTCATTTAAGATGGAAACCATACAAATGTGGCACAGCAGTGGCACATTAAACAGTGGTCTGACTTCAGGACACCAAGGAATTTATACTGGAGAGAACCATTACAAATGTAATGAAGACGGTAAATTGTTTAACCAATTCTCTCAATGGATTACACATAAAAAAAATTCATAGCAGGGGGAACTAAGTCTATTCCTGTTGAAGATTAACTGACCTGAGATATTAAATTCAACAGAGAGTTAAAAAGTTAAAATTATTTAAAACTGAGATGGTTTGTGTTACAGAAACAAGGACATCTGTGGAAGGGTCTAACTATCTTTATAAAATATTTTTATTCAATTACTTGAGGTTTCTTGAAAAGTCTTCATTATTATTAATAAATTTAACTTGAAGTTTGAAATCTGTCAATGTTATACCTTCATTACATGCTTTTTATATATGATCATGATTGTCTCAAAGAAGGGATTGGTAAGATGGAAGGGCCAACTTCCTTAGATGGAGTTTATTCATGTTACTGTAACCTGGAAAAAACAGGACACTAACTTTAAGATACAATGTGGAATAAATTTGAGAGCATGGAGGGGTGACTAGATAGAGGTAAAACTATTATCTAAATTATCATACTTTATGTAGTTGGGACCCCTTCCTAGATGTGTTGATATGACTGAGGACCTCTGTTGATTGTAGGGAAGGTAAGATTACAAGATAATCATGAAACAGAAAGAGTAGGCCATGACATTGAGAGAGTGAGATTTTCATGGGAATAAAATGATAGGCTACCAGGCACTGCATGTGTGGTACAAAAAAAATATATAGAATGAATGAGGGTCACCCTCTCCTTTGAAAGGTAATAGCTGTTGCATATCACAGGTTATTGAATATTGGTCTTACTTTTGGAAACTGAAGAGAGAACAGGTATTATCATAGAGGACTGTTTAATCAAAAGAACCAGAGTAGAGTGTGCTCGTAAAGGATTCACATTTGTCTACTGGAATTCCTTTTTGATACCATTTTATTTTGAATATATCATATTCTCATGTCCTAATTAGTAATCCTGAGTAAATAATATGCCTTCTATCAGTCCAAGTATGTCCCACTTCATTTGGGGCACTTTATAGTGAACATGAATAATCCATCATTAGGCTCACAAGGTTGAATATAATCTGTGAGGACTTCTTTCCATGTTAGACTTAACAGTATACAGTTTGGGGAATATATATTCATAATCTGCACTTGAGTCATTATTTCCTGCACTCTGCCTCCATTTCATGTGGCTATAATGAAAATACCATAGCATAGCAGTGCAATATCAGACCCTCTAAAACCTGCCTTTCCATTCATGAATATGCACATGATTATAAAAAGGTACTTCAAAAAGTTCATGGAAAGATTTGTATTATCTTTCATTTCTATTTTTCCTTGAACCTTTTGAAGTACCCTTGTATTTCTACATGACTATATTTCTACATGCCTTTTTTTTTTGCAAGAATGGATTACACATTCTTTTACATGAGGTGAAACATAAGCATATGAAAAATATTAGTAAATAAAAAAATTTTGAGAATAAGGATAAAAATAACGATCTCTTTCGTTCTTGATGCACTCAGTGAAATAATTTCAAAAGATCAATGTTCATGTGTTTCCTCTTCACAAGGAACATAATTGGGTTTGGGTAGTTTTGTGGGTTTTTTATGTTTGTTTTAAGAACTAGAAACTTCAGGGTCCGGCCCGGTGGCGCACTGCTATAGTGCGCCGCTTGGGAAGCGTGGTGGCGCTCCCGCCGAGGGTACGGATCCCACATACAGACCGGCCGCTCACTTGTGGGGAACTGTGTGTTCTCATGATGACCCCCTGAGTTGCAGAGCCAAAAGGACAGACTGCCAACTTCCTGATGAGGAAGTGGTGGCGGGCTGAGCATGGAAAAAGCTGAGGCTGTGGCCCAGCAAGTTGTGAAAACTGCATGCTCTCATTTATGACTGCTGATTAAAATCTAGTTGGCTGACCACAAGAACTAAGCTGCGCTCGGGTGTGATGATTCTGAGAAGACTTCTGAACAACTTCTGTTTTTTTATTTTTTCTCCCCCTACTTCCCCTTTTTTACACTTCTATATAAGAAGCTTGTGTGAGACAATAAAACGAGGCTTGATCAGATCCTTGTCTTGCCTCCCTCCTTTGCGTCTCTTGTCCCACCCACTCCCCCTTCCAGGTTCCACGGACCGACTCCCAATTCCCGAGGGAAGGGACACTCACTGGCTGAGCGAGGGGCGGGAGCAACACCGAGGGTTGCGATCCCGTGGCCGGTCACGAAAAAAGACAAAAAGGAAAAAAAAAAAAGAACTAGAAACTTCATATAATTTACCCCCATATTTTATTAATTTACATTTATGGCCACTCCACTGGAACAGGACAGAACCCCACACAAAGTATGGTTTTAATTTCAAGACTGATAATACCATACACTGAAGTGTTATGAGAATGTTTGTTACATGAGGCTTTCTGGGGAGAACAAGGTAGACATCCTAATTTGGTTCAAAAATGTCTAGAGAGCAGGGAAAGATGATTGGCTTGGGCTGCTGTATGAGTCCATTTCTGTTGCTTATAACAAAATACCTGGAAGTGGGGGATTTGTAAGAAAAAATTGATTGCTTACAGTTTTGGAAGCTGGGAAATCCCAAGTCCAGGGAACTCTGATGGTGAGGGACTTCTCTGGTGGTGGCTTTTCAGTAATGCAGAAATGTAACATGGCAGAAAATGGCCAAGCAGAGAGAGAGTGTTCCTCATTCTCCTTTTAAAGGCTTCAGAACCACACCCATTATTCCAAAAATGGATCAATCCATTCACGAATGTGCAGTCCTTACAATCCAGTCACCTCTCCAAGGCCCTGCCTTTCAATTACCTGTTGGCACTATCTCTATTGCAATCTAATGCTGGGAACATGTTTCATGTTTTGCAGAATACCCTTTCCTGTATGGTTGTAGCTAAATAATAAGATTTCCTACCCCAACAGTTAAAATGGAAATTGGGCTTCTAACAGATATGAACTTTTGGGGACACAATCAATTCACAGCCGGTGTTATGATGGTTACCTGGTAGGGTTGGAATGCGGGTACCCACATGTGGTTTGAATTTCTAGCTGGTGCCAAAAGAGCTATAATCAGCATGCAATAAAATTCACATCTTTTTAACTGTACAATACAGTGGGTATGTTGTAAAATTTATCAGTACCTAATAATTTTCATTGGTAATATCTCACAGTTTGTTTATCTATTATTTGATGAAGCTTTGGGTTCTTTCCACTTTTTGAAATTAGGCTATTATGAAAAAAATGTTTCTATGAACAGATTTTTACAAGACTTTTCAACATATGAGTGTTTTCACTTCTCTTGGGTATGTCTGTAAAAGTGGAAATGCTGCGTCATATGGTAAGTCTATGATTCTTTTTGTGGAACTGCCAACCTCTTTTCTGAAGCAGCTGCACCATTTTACATTCCTGTCAGCAATGTATGAGTGTTTTACTTTCTGAACTTCCTCATCAATTCTTGTTATTTGTTGTTGTTGTTGGATTGTTATTAGTATTAGTAGTACTATTATAGCCTTCTAGTCACTTAGAAGTAGTATTTGATTCTAACTAGATTTGCATGTCTTCATGACTAACGATGTTCAGCATCTGTTCATATGCTTATTGTCCATTTGTATCTTTGGAGAAATGTCTATTCAAATCCTTTGCCTATTTTTTAAAAATTGAGTTGTGTTTTCTTGTTGAGTTGTAAGTTTTCTTTAATATTCTGGTTACTAGACCCTTATGAGATATAATTTGCGAATATTTTCTCCACTTCTTTGTATTGTTTTTCCACTTTCTCTGTAAGTAGTGTTTTTGGTGTCATATCTAAGAAACCATTGCCTAGCCCAATGTTGTGAAAGTTTACATCTGTTTTCTTCTAAGATTTTTTTTTTATTGGTTATAAATATTCATGGGGTACAAAGCTGACTGACACCACTCGTGCCCAAGATGTGATGGCCAGATCCATACTGGCAGCATGCCCATTACCACAAATTACAATTATATCTCATGCCCCCCACCCAATTATCCCTGACCACCCTCCTCATTCCCCTTTCCCCCACTCTACTTTGTATCCCTAGGGTGCTTTCTCCCTCTACAAGTCCAACACACCACTGTGGTCTTTCTTCCCTTCCTTCTTTCTTTCTTAGCTCCCACTTGTGAGTGAGCACATGTGGTATTTTTCCCTCTGTGCTTTGTTTATTTCACTCAACATAAGTTTCTCCAAGCTCACAGAATTTCATTCTTTTTTATGGCAGAGTAGTATTCCATGGTGTATATATACCACATTTTCCATATCCAATCGTCCATCGATGGACATTTAGATTGTTTGCGTATCTTGGCTATTGTAAGCAGAGTAGCAATGAACATGGGAATGCATAACTTCGATATGATGATTTCCATTCCTTTGGGCATATACCCACAAGTGGGATTGAAGTTTTATCTCCAGTGGATTGAGAGAGAGCTTCACCTTATTTCTGTCTTTTAGACAGGCCCCCAGCGGATTGGATGGTTCCTGCCCACATTGAGGGTGGGTCTTTCCCAACCAGTCCACTCAGGCTCTCATACTAATCTCTGCTGGAAATACCCTCATGGCCACACCTAAAAAAATAGCTTTACCAGGTTTCTCAGCATTCCTTCATCTAATCAAGTTGACACCTAGAATTAACCTTCACACGGGGTAACTTACAAAGAAAAGAAATTTATTTCGTACAGTTCTAAAGGTTGAGAAATCCATGGTTGAAGGGCTGTATCTGGTGAGGGCTCTCTTGCTGCATCAGAAGATGGTGGAAGGCATCACATGGCAAAAGAAAGGAAGAGCGCAAGTTCAGGTCTCTTCCTCTTTTAAAAAGCCCCTTAAATTTCCATTATGATGGCCCCACCCTCATGATCTCATCTAAGCCTAATTACCTCTCAAAGGTTCCACCTCCAAATATCACCAACATATGAATTCGGGGATAAAGTTTCCAACATATGAACTTTTGGAGGACACATTCAAACCATAGCACACTCGCCATTTTCTTAAACGGTAATATTTACTGCAGCTATCTGATAGCATTGAACAAATACAGTAGGCACCCAACTGAATTCCCTCTCAAAGTTTCAAAAACCTTCAATTTTGAGGTCAATATGTCTCTGCTACTTTTCTGAACTGTATTGTCCTTTGTCCACTTGGCACTATCACCATTGCAATCTAATGTTGGGAGCCGTGTCTTCCAGAATATCCTTTTCTGTGTGGTTCTGGCTAGTTTGCCAGTGAGAAAAACCTGAATGGAATTTGGAAAGCAGAAGTGAAGCAGAAGCCATTAATTTTAGGAGAACTGGTG